GAAACTCAGTCTCAGAAGACAGGATGGACCTTAGGAGTTTACATACTGGATGTAGGCAATGGTTTAAGGAAGATCATCTAATTTCCTTGCAAGTAATGATAAGAGCTGTTACCTTTGAGATACCTTTATGTTTTGGTCCAAAATGCTTGTAAACTAGGTAATGCAGATTTTTTTTTTTGCATCAAGTGATCTTACAAGACATTCGTGAAGTCAGGCTCTGTTTTTCAAGCTATTTGCAAATTTAATATTGGACAGCGCTGTGCTTATTATTTTAGTCTATGACTAATCCTTAAGAACGCTGCAACTATTATATGGCAAGTGTAATAGCAACTAACTGAATGAGGCAGATTAAGTGTATTTAGAATTATCTATCCAAATATGCACTTTCGAAAGGCATATGTAAGTTTTACAATTAGGAGATTAAAATGACATGGCTAGAGAGAAAGAAACAGTTTTCTTGAGGTCTCGGGTACCTGTTTTTGTCTTGGTTCCACCACACCAGAGAGAGATTTTGAGTGTAAAAATTGGTCAGGTTTGAGCTTTGTTTAGAAACTTGCCTGATAATTAGATGCCAAGGCTGTTAATTGTATATACTTTTTCCACTGTGCAAGTGTAAATTATTTCCTGTAATAAACTTCACTGTACATGTTACTAGGCTGTATATAGATCAGAGACGGATATTTATAATTAGCCCATATTTGCCTTCACCTCTATCTTTGTTTCCAAGGGTTGCTATGGATAACTGTTCTTCCACCTCCCGTGTTCTCATTTCGCAGGCCTTGTGAGTCTCACAGGGATGAATCCTCTCTTCCGTAGCATTAAATATTTATACAATGACCTGACAAAGCAACCTAGGTGAAAACGCGGGCAATACTGCAATAAGTATTACATCTTCTTGCTGTTAAACCTAAACAAAAGTATATTGCAGCCTTCCCGTGCCTTCCTAGGACAGCTGCCCCAAGCAGTGTAGGCCAACTGAGAAATATGCGAAGGAGAGAAACATTTTTGGGAGTTTGCCTCTTCTCTCAACTCCTGTTTCCTTGGAATGATAAAATTTACGCTAAGAAGTATGCCCAATAGTTGCAAATGACAAAAATGTCCACTTTCATTTAGACCAAGCCAAGATGCCATATCCCATTTCCTTCAATGGCTATTGGCAGCGTAATCCATTTATGGATTGATTTATTTCAACTGGTGAGGAAGGATGGTAAGAACTGGTAAAACGGTAAGAGCTGCAATGAAATACATGCTACAGAATATTTCTGCCTAGCAAGGAAGATTGCTGGCAGCGCAGCACTTCACACTTTGAGAGACTAAGGTCTCGACAGAGACACCCGTGGCCCCGTGATGGCCCAGGGGTGTTGCTGCCAGAGGGACCTCCAGCCCTTCTCCCCGAGGGGCGGGTGACTTACCTTCTGCTCCCCCAGAGCCTGAAAGCTGTTGAGTGATAGCTGAGAGGGGCTGGCAGACTCATCATTTTGAGAAGCTGACCGTGCCCTGCCCTTAGGAGAGAGGGAACTCTTCCCTGGAAATAAATGCGGGTTCTGGGATTTACTGGTGGACGAAACCGCAGCTATTATGGATCCCACAGTTTTCGGGCAAACTGCACGACCCCCGGCAGTGGCCGGGCTTTGCCAGTCGGTAGCCACACGCTTGCTCGCCGATTCTCCGGCAGCGCCGGGTCCCAGGTGGGGGCTGGAGCGCCCGGGG